CCAAGGGCCGCAAAGCCAAACGCGGCTCCGGGGCGCCCCCCGCCCGTGCCGCCGGGCCGCCGGTCCCCGCCGCCCCGATCCCCGCCGTGATCCTCGCCGTGACCTCCGCGGCCGGCTCCCCGGCTCCAGGCTCGCGCATCAGCCACACGGACAGCAGCTCCGACCTCTCCGACTGCCCCTCCGAACCCCTGTCCGACGAGCAGCGCCTGCTCCCCGCCGCCAGCAGCGACGCCGAGTCTGGCACGGGCTCCAGCGACCGGGAACCGCTGCGAGGAGCCGCTACGACGAGCCCCGCGGCTCGGGGGGCGCCGCCCGGCAGCCCCGAGCCCCCCGCGCTCCTTGCCGCGCCTCCCGCCGCCGGCGCCTGCCTCGGGGGTCGGAGCAGCCCGGGCGGGGTCCCCGCGGGGTCCCTGGGAACTGGTGTGGCGGAGGATGCCGGGGGACGCGCGCCGTTCGAGCGAACGGTCCCCGGGATCCCCAAGGACCCCGGTCTTGGCGAGCAGACCCGACTGATCCCGGCGGCCGCGGTGGAGGAGGAGCTGCTGCGGGAGATCGAGGAGCTGCGCTCGGAGAACGACTATCTCAAGGTGAGCAGCCGGCTCCGCCGCGGGTGTCCCGGAGGCCACCCCGAAAGGTCTGGGTGCGGGCGGGGACCCGCGAGCCCTGCCTGCCCGGTCCTGACCAGCCCGTTCTCTCTTCTGCCCTTCACTTTCCCGCCCCCGCACACACTGGGCGTTGGGAACTTAAGCTAAAACTTCTGGAAGGAGCAGCAAGACCTGTGGGTCCGGGCGGGTTCCCACCCCACTTAGCTTTTCTTGTTTCTTGAAGTCTTGCTTCTTCCTGCTGACGTCTTTGCCTCTGTTGATGTGCCGGGAGAGAGGTGGCCAGAATCACATTTTGGATACACAGCCGACCCTCCGTGGGGCCAAAACATGCACACCCTCACCTGTGGGATCTGGCTACCCCTAGCCAAGGAGCTCTGGTCCCGGCCTAGGGCTGGTGCGTGTAGGTTCTGGAGCCTGCAGTGGGTCAGGCTGCGGATGTGCCAGATGCTTTTCCTGCGTTTACAGAACGTGAGACCCCTCTATTTTCTCGGAGGGGGGTGCTCCCAGTGTTTCGGTGATACACCTTTAGTTCAGGGGCCCCATGAGGGTGGCCTGTGTTGAGGGACAAGGAGTTGGCAGGTTTGGCCTGCCTGTCCTTTGTAGGCGTCCACAAGCTGGTGTTTTGTGTCAGGAGAGACCCCTTGATTTCCCCCAGCACTCCAGCACTTTTGAGGGAATTGCAAACCTCTGCCCCCCTACCTCTGAGGATTTTTCCTAAGGGCCTGCTAGCTAGCAATGGCCTTTTGGTCTCGTTAGCTTTGGGGCACTCGATCTGACTTCCATCTTTTCTCCCAAGAGGAGGTCAGGTTGGTCCTGCAGAACAGAGGACTTACAGTGTTGGGGGAAGGGGGTTCAAGACAGTTGAAGTGACTTGAGAGAAAATAAGGGGGGTAGTACGGGGGGGCAACTGTTTTAATTTATTGTAGTGCTCAAGTTAGTGAATAACTACAGCGGTACCAATCTTTTCACGTTTCTGTTAAGATGATAACATATATCTCCGAAACCAGTGGATGTCCCTCCTTCATCTGGGTGATGTGACTTGTACTTTTTCTCAGCAAACACTGAATGTATCCAGATGAGGCCCAGGCTTTGGCCACTGGGACCAAGGGCATGGCCTTTTAAGGTGGTTAAGTGTGAAGTTCAGACTGCTGACAGAATAGTATTCTGAACCTAAACTTCTTATCAGGAGCTGCTCTCCCCAAATGAGCCCAGTCGTTGTTTTGTCTGCAAAGATGTGGCAGTGAGGCAGAGGAGAGGTGAGACCAGATTGGGAGTTGGGAGTAAGATGTTTCAAGTAGTACATTTGCCTGTGTCACCCACTCTTACGTAATAGACAACAGAACGGTTTTCAAAGGTGCTGAAGAGAAAGGGCAGTGATAGCATATGTGACTCCATTTTGAAATCGCCGCTTTTGTAAATCTTCAGCAAATGTAAACTCCCTAAGGGCCAGAAAGATTACCTTGTCCGGTTATAGCTCCAGCCCTCAGCATGATCCCAGACCCCCAGTGTTTCTGACTAAATGGTGTTTATCCAAATCACGACCTGCTAAGCGACAGAAAATTGAGGGTTTCGTAAAACATGTTTCTCATCGCATCTTTGATCTTCAGGTAGGCAACAGTCATTTCAGAGTTCATTCTGAGGTGACTGTTTATTTGCTTTATCTTTTCACGTGGGTAGAGCCTCTGTGAATGAAATAGGTGTCTGACCCTGGAGTCTGATGTGGTATATTTGATATTTCAGTGATTCTTCACAACAACCTAGGGTATAATTGTTGTTATATTTGTCATAACCCCAGTTTCACAGACAAGGATGCTGAGAACCCGGAAAACTTAAATGACCAGCCCAAGGCCATCCAGCTAGGAGGTACAGCTTGTATTTTACCCGCCCCCGGAGCCTTTGCTGTTTTCACTGCACCAGGCTGCATCCCTGTTCCCAGCAAGCCTGCTTTTCTCAGCGTATACTGCTTGCTTTTGAGTTGTTTTATTAGCTTGAAATGTTCCCAATGTTTAGCTTTCCTAGGGGGCCTCTTTTCATTTTAGGCGAAAGGGCCATAATGAACCCCTCTCCACTAGCCAGTGTACAGATGGTCATATAAATCCCACTGACAGTGTTTAATTTGTGGGAAATGTTCAGTTGCTGTTTCCTGTGGAGAAAGTGTCACGGCCAACCGTTTACTCTGCCTGAGTGCATCTCCCAGCCTTTCCCCTGTCAGCAGGAGAGAGCAGGAGGTAGAGGAGCTCTGAAAGAGGCTGGGAAACCAGAAGTATGCTCACAAATATACGTGTGAGTTACATGTTTCGTTACCTAGAAGCTAAGTTACAGTAGTTCAATTTGGGAGAAAACACAGCAATCCTGGCAGACTTCTCTAGAGGTCAGTGAGCGCACCCACTTGTGCACAGTGGGGCTGTGAGCACAAGTGACCTCAGGAGTCAGAGGCAGGAGGCTTGCCTTGACAAGTTTCTAAATTGAAACTTACCTTTGGTTGCTTTGGTTGCTTCTTTTCTCACAGTAGATCAATGTGCATCCTTGATCTGCTTTCTTAGAGAACGTGGTACAGAGCTCTTGTGATTAGATAGAGCATTCTTCTATTCAAATGTTACCTACCAAGAAGAGACTTGGCCTGGGCACTTTACGTTTGTATATCCTGGAGGACTGTGACCATGATAAGTGCCACATTCTTTCCCAAGTCAGTTCTGTCACCATTACTGCACAAGACTGTCACGCTTCCTGAGCTAGCATGACCAAAGGGTAATCAAGCAGAATCATCAGGCCTGCGAAACCATAGGCGGATGTCTTACTGATGGAGACCTTCAAGTGGAATTCTCTTGGTTTTTAGCCACTCTGCTGTATTTTTTAAAATAGATGTCAACAGAGAAGTACATACCTTCGGTTGCGCAGCGTGGAGCTGCTTGGGGCGTCCCTGGCCCTGCTATCTCTTCTTCATCAGAGGGCACCAAGTTGACTAAATGAAAAATGCACAACTACTCAATCCAGGTGGCTGGCTTTTTGCGTGAAAACACAGGCAGGAAAGCAGTCTTGTCCCTTTACTCCCGATGAACTTAGATATATTTGGAAGTCTTCAGAAATTCAGGTGAGCAGTTGAATTCGGTTGTCCAAAGGCCTTTGCTCCTTTTTCAAACTGAACCCAGGCATGTTTCTCGGTGCTGAGAGCATCCACAAAACGCGGCTGGTGTGTTTCTGCCTGCCCACCTGCCTGCCACTGCCGTGTTTTGCCCAAGTGCTCTGAGATTAATCGGACCAGCCTTAGTGCTCATTGTGAACATACTAATTATGTTCTCTGTTTCCACAGGGTTTTCAGGAGAATTTAATCAGTTGAATTTATTGACCTATTTTGAAAATGTTTTTCTTTTTTTTTTTTTTAAATTTTTTAAAAGTTTATCTATTTTTGAGAGAGAGAGAGAGACAGAGACAGACTGCGAGTGGGGGAGGGGCAGAGAGAAAGGGAGACACGGAATCTGAAACAGGCTCTAGGCTCTGAGCTGTCAGCACAGAGCCGGAGGCAGGACTTGAACCCAGGAACTGTGAGATCAGGACCTGAGCCAGAGTTGGACACTTAACCAACTGAGCCACCCAGGTGCCCCCCAAAATGCTTTTGGAATTACTGGTGATGAGCTCACAATGTCCCCTCCGCATGTGCCCAAATAGTATTCTCCAAAAGTGCCAGTGCCCTGCAGGATGGATGCAGGTGGGGCTGGGGGGAAGGGTTGCTTATTTTCGCTCTGCTTTCTCTGTTATTCCTGAAGAATTATTTCTGGTTAAAACAAAAGTCACTGCTAGCTACCAGGGCAAGCAACATCCGATCCTTTGAAAGGAGTGATTCCCTAAAGGAGATGATTGGTAAGGTCATTTTTTATTTTATAGGTTGCAGTGTATCACTCCTGATCCAGCCTTACCAGCCTGTTTCTTACCAGAAGTAGTCTTTTGAGTTTCAAGCTCTGAAATGGTTTTGTTAAAATGGGCTGCTTGGATTCCAGGTGCTCAGCATGGCCCAGAAGGGAGACACACTCACAGGCAAGAATAATACAGTTCTGAACAGCTAAAGTGTTGAGCTCCTCCTCTCCCTTTCTTTTGGAAGGGTTAAAGTGGACAGTGTTCCTATTCTTTCCTGACATCCCCCTTTCCACGCCCATTCTTTATTCAGCCTGCAAAAGAGCGGCTGTAATAATCTTAGGTGGCAAGATAATGTAGACCAGGACAAACAGAGCCCATCAGCTGCTGGGTGAACTGTCACTTGGTAAACAATGGTAGCGGCCCCTGTGCCTTCTTAGCTACAGCTGGGACTGTGCAGAGAACATTTTCATTGTCCAGAGGGAAATGAGGTGGATTATTTGTATATTACAACAGACAATAGTTTCTGTCTGTAACTCCCAGAAGATGGAATTATTTCAACAGTAGCCAGACGACTGCTCCCCCTCTCCAAATTGGGTCTGTTTAAAGAAACGTTATTAAAATATTAATGTAGAACTAGTTATTGATTTCGGGTTGCTTAAAGGAGGCTATTATTTGAATAAAACTATCAGTATGATCAAGAGTTTGCATCCCTTAAGTTCAGATACGGTGCATTCAGTATCCACTGTGTTTTTAGTTTTTATTTGTGGGTAAAACTGTTTTCATTGAAATGTGTGTCATTTAATCTTGGTTTACTCTAGTGCGCACATGGTGCCTCATTATTTCTCTAATTTGATGTATATAATAAGGCTCGATCTGTTATCTGCAGGCAAAGGGGAGTAGTTGGGGAGTTTTGCATGACTTCAAGATTCCATTTTATATATGAAATTTGAAAAATAGATTTAATTAAAACTAAATTAGCTTTTTAGTGAGGTATGCAACAGACCTGATGTTAATTCAATATAAAACTTGATTAAGGGCAAGTTTTTTCTTAGTTTCTGTGTATAAAAAAACAACAGCAATTTTCTACTTTTACTTACTCTGTCTAAATTATATTTGCCAGAAACATTATATGTTCTGCTTGATTTGGTTTTCTTAAACAGTTAAATGGCAGACATTTTTAAGGTTCTGTAATACAATGTATTCTAAATTAGGGCATGCTGTCAGAAAATTAATGTAATGGTAGCTTGAAAATCACTATCCATCATGACCCTAATCTGAATAATCACAGTTTTTGCTTTTCAAATGTCTGCTGCCAGCTTACACGGTTTATAATTTGCTTTTCTTGTAACTTCTTTTCACTGAACCTGAAAACTGCTTTTTTTTCAAGGCGCTATGAAAAGAGTTGAAACACTGGCCTTGGTCCCATCTCTGCAATAGACTAGTGTTGAAAAGCCATTTAAATGTTTAGAACCTCAATTTCCTCATTTTTAAAATGGGAGTATTAATATCTTTGCTGCACATTGCAGTGTTTTTTTCT